CTAGCTGCAATGCCACTTGTGCTCTCACAAACGCACATGGCACCAAATCACTGGTTCCCTTCGCAACACGCAAGCAGTAGCTCACTGCAGGGAGGTCCTCACACTCTTACAAGGAACCACCTCCACACTACTGAGCTGTGGGCTACCGTCAGAGTCACCTATATAAAACTGTACAGCAAGATTCAGGACATGTCTTGACTGCAGAAGTAATTCAAGTCATTGGCAGTTGGTGTCGACTCCTCTCAGGATAGCCCAGTTTCAGAGGAAGCATCCATAAGCTCACTGATCAGGTTGCTCAGCTTAGGGGAAACATCCCAGTCAAGCCTGTGGCAAGGGCAAGTCCTCCTCTCAAGGAGCATTTTCACCCGCTACCTTGTGACACTGTCTCTGAATCACCAGGACAAGTACTGTCACTCAGAAGAAGAGGGGACTATAAAGCGCTGTAGATATCTCACCAGTCCGTCTTTTCCAGGAAATGGAGCCGTTTAAAAAAAAAAAAAAAAAAAAAAAAAAAGCAGCCCACAACTCAGGGTAATTCCCATTTCTATGAAGGTTTAAATTGGGCTCAAGTAATTGAAGCTCCTTCTATTAAACAAAATTAAAATCCCAGAGTTCAACACAGTAAATTTAAAAAGGACAGAGATAAATTTTCCTGCCCTAGAAACACGGCCCTCAGGCTCCCTAACTATTTGCTAGGATAGTCCTCAGCTGGCAAAATGGAAAGCTGGCAGCCACCCAAGGTATTCGCACAAAGCACTGCAATTAGAAGCTACTTAGGGCACCGTGAACCAAAATATATGCTAATAAAAACATCATTAACTAACTTGTGAAGAGACTCTTCTCAGGGGAGGGAATCTTTGCTAACAATAACATAATTGTCATGCATTTAAGTCCTGAAGTCCATGGCAACAATTTCGAGCTGATGGGGGAACAAGTGAGATAGGGAAAAAGGCGACATTTGGAAAATAGTGGGGTGGAGGGAAAGTGACTCTGAGAAACAGAATGAAGCAAGCTTGTCTGATAACACATGAACACAAAGCAACTGGTCTGCAGAGACGAGTACTTAGGCACAGAAAAGAAGGCGGACTGTGTTCAGTGTGCTGCCAGTTTAAGGTTCTTCCTACCCAAAAAAGAGAAAAGAAAAACAAGATAAAAGGATTAAGCAGTGCTCTCCTTTTGTAATCAAGTACAATGTGAATTTTCCACAGCCAGAGCTGCTGGGAGAGCCACATACCCCTCCCTCTCCAGGGTCTCCTCCAGGAAGCACGCTGAGCATTCGCTCCCACCAGGGCTACAACAGAAACGCTTTTGATCTCCATTTTCTGCTGCATTATTGTCATTCTGCAGAAGTGATGTTTGCTCATTATTTCAAAAAAAATGGCAATTCTGGTTCCTTCTCTACTCCGCCTATAATTCTGAGTTTCCTGACAAATAAAATATTGTATCTATTATCCATTTGAATCGGAAGTTATATGTTCTCCATGACCAATCTCTAACTGGCTGGTCTGTGTGTTAAGGTTCTGCAACTAACTCAGGTGTTCCAACAGGGTTTTAAACCAAACGACCAGCATTTCCAAAGGCTTGCAACTTTACAAGTGTCTATCTGAAAGCTGATTTAACGCCTCAAGGGGGTGCTGAGTGCTTCCAGCTGGCTTCTCTGAGCACCCGGGACACGGCTCCCTTTCAGAAGAGGCAGCATGAATTTCCAGTTTCTCCCAGCTGAATGAAGGCAGCCAGGAGGTACACTGGTTCTCACAGGGCACTGCTTAAGTAAGGGCTTGTGACTGAGATATTTAAGAGTGTTTCTCTACACTCTCCAAGCTGGCAGTTTCCCAGTTTGTTGCCCAGAGAAACGCATGAAAGGAGGAGAAAACGCATGAAAAAGGAGAAAATCATGAATGAGGAGCACAGCGGTGCTGCTGCTGCTGGTTTTGTTTGCCTGCTCTACCCTGGTTAGTCTGAGCTTAACTTTCATGGCATAAGTAAGGCTTCAGTTAAAGCTCACCTGGGGCTCTTCTGCTATGAAGGCTTCACATCAGCACAGCTGGCACAGCTGGGGAAGCACGGAGTGCCCCAACTCCAGAATAAGCACATGCAAGCCCTATGCTTGGCCTTGTGATTATGAGAATGAAGCCAAATGAAGGCCACGTTGAAAGAGCAGGAAGTCCTAAACACTGCCATCAGCAGCATGGACAATAGGGGCATTGACGAAACTTCCAGACTTCAGCAGTGGAACATACAAGCCCCCCCCTCCAAAAAAAAAAAAATAAAAAATCACATAGTATGGGGAAGGAGGACAGTTCTCAAAGCAGAAACACCATTTGGAAGACATTTATTAGTACACTACAAAAACCAGCAACAGGCCCAGAGGTTGTGGTAGGCTGGAAGCTTTGGGTCATCACTGTTGTTCAGAGGACAACAAGAAAGAAATTAACATGGGGAGACACTTGTTATTGAACAGCAGATCAGAAGAAGCAACACAAAATCCCAGATACATATTAAAGTGAATAAGTTACTGAGAAGCATCACGTTTCGCTGCAAAGTACGGATGTTCTAGGACAGAGAACAGTATGGACCTCACCTTGGGAAACTTGTCTGTCGAGGTAGCTAGCACTCAACACCCATCAACTTCATTTACTGTATCACCTCAGTTTCCTGGAGTCCTAGAGAAGGACTGGGAATGCATTGTGCAGAGAAGAAAAAGATGGTCCCTGGCCTAAAGAGGTTATAATTCACTATTACACATGAAAATCTGTAACAATTTACCTGTAATAGATTCTGAGCAATTTAACAAGATTTGTCGTGGTCATTGCTCATCATTGTCGGACACACACACAAAAAAGGAAAACAGATGTCTGAAAAATTATAAGCTTAAAAAAAAAACCTGAGAGGAAACACAAGGGACTAGATGGGAAGGATGGATTTTGTGTCCAAGAGTCAGAGCTCAGTCACAGATTTCCTGCCTCAAATGAGGCATCGTTTAGTTTAGTGAATACGACTTTATTAATATTCCCCTACTTTAAAAATAAAGCTTTGAGAGTCTTAGATCTATGTGAGAAAATAGATTAATACTTGTATCTAAATGTCAAGAACTGTGTTTTGTGTGATAAAGAGCTAAAAGGGAAAAAAAAAAGAAAGCAAAGTGGGGCAGCAGAGGGGAGAGAGAGAAAATAAGCAAGGAAACTCAAACCATGGGAAAGAAAACTGAACCTTTGCTACCTCTTGCAATAAGCAGTCAGTTATCAGCTGCAGAACATGCAGAAATGGAACAAACAAGATTCAAGGGAAGGAATTATGCCATACTTCAAGTATGTTTTTCAAGATCCGTTCTCCCATCGTAAATAACATAGTGAAATGCTAAGAGTCAACAGATTTCATCAGGGCCACTTTACATCATGCTGCACACTGTAAATAAAAGCATAAGCATTTCCTGCACTTAACTACAAAAATCTTCATTGGCCGCAATTCACATACAAGGTATCAAGAATACAGTGGGATCTATCAGGACTGACATTATAGCCCATATAAGCATCTCATTTTACCCCAACCATGAGCATAGCTACGCTTTTCTATGAACAGGAACAGTGCAATTTCACAAGAAAGTCTGAAGATATTTTAAAATGTGTGCATGCGTTTTTCCATTTCTTTCAAACTTCAAGATAAATGTGGGTGCCCAGAAAGCCAAGCATACCCTGGGCTGCATCCAGAGCAGCGTGGCCAGCAGGTCAAGGGAGGGGATTCTGCCCCTCTGCTCTGCTGAGACACAGCTGCACACCCCCCCGCCCCCCCCCGGGCCTGCGTCCAGCTCTGGGGCCCCCAGCACAAGACAGACACGGACCTGCTCAAGTGGGTCCAGAGGAGGCCACGAAGATGCTCAGGGGCTGGAGCAGCTCCCTGTGAGGACAGGCTGAGAGAGCTGGGATTGTTCAGCGTGGAGAAGAGAAGGCTCCGGTGAGACCTTGGAGCCGCCTTCAGTGCTGAAAGGGGGCTGCAGAAAATGTGGGGAGGGACTCTTGATCAGGGAGGGTGGTGATGGGGCGAGGGGTAACGGTTTCAAACTGAAAGAGGGGAGATTTAGGTCAGATATGAGGAAGAAATTCCTCACTGTGAGGGTGGTGAGGCCCTGGCACAGGTGGCCCAGAGCAGCTGTGGCTGCCCCCTCCCTGGCAGTGTTCAAGGCCAGGCTGGATGGGGCTGGGAGCAACCTGGTGTGGTGGAAGGTGTCCCTGCCCACAGCAGGGGGGTGGAACTGGCAGGTCTTTAGGGTCCTTTCCAGCCCAAACCATTCTGCGATTCTGTATGTTAAGAGAACCCTACAGTTCTACAGCCTATCACTGCACACTGCCACTGAGGCTATTAAAAGAAACAAATGACCAACCTGGCTTACACACAGTCTATAATGAATTACTGCCCACAAAATCCATTATGTTTTTTTTTGAAAAGCCAAAGGAAAAGCTACTTAATTTGAGCAATTCACTTCACACTCTTGACAAATCAAATGAAAACCTTAAGTGCTTCAGGTTGCTGGTGCCAGTTTCCAAAATAATAACAGCAGACACAACCTGTGCCCGTATTCAATGTCCCAATTCAGGACAACCCTGGGGTCACCACCTAAGCTCAGACCACCCACCAGCCCATGTGCTGGAAGTCAAGTGCTTTCCAATGCCAATGAAAGCTGCCAGAGATAAACCTGATGAAACCAGAGGGGAGCTGGAGACCATGCAGGCACTGCCCAAGCGGTCTTGAGAAAAGCGGCTGACAATTCACCCAGGCTTTCTCTCTAGCTCAGTGGTATGGTCAGCTTGTCTCTGCATTTTCCCCACCTGTTAAATGGGAACCTATATACTTGGTGACTGCTGACCACCTGCTCCACAAAGCCTTGGAAAGATTCAGTAGGTTTATACTTACAAAGCCTTCTGAAGATGGAAGGTTTAGATAAAGTATGCCAACACATTAAAAGAGACTGGGATAACAAAGACATACTGCAAAGTAATACTCACCCGTTCCTGACCGGCTGTGTCCCAGATCAGAAATTTATGAAGCTCATTCCCACAAGGCACAGTTTTAGTCATGAAGGATGCTCTGAAAAGAAGGAAGTGGCAGAAATTTGTAACGCGACCAACACTCTGAATACACAACCTCCAGACCTTAGCCAGTTCTGCTGGGTTAGACTGCATATGGGGAAACTCCAAAACCTTGATAAAATGCCTACAGAAGTGAAAGTCTCCCTTTTCTCAGATAAAATCTGTGATGCTTATCTATGTATTTTAAAAGAAAAGAAAAGCCTCTGAGGTTCAGAGGGCATTTGTGCATGGCCCCAGGAACACAAATGCTCCTGCCACTCTCACGTAGCTTCTGCTGCTAGCTTGCTCCACCTTCTCAGCAACATGGACCTCAGAAAAAGGCAGCAGCCAGCAACATATCAAGCAATAAACATGCAACTTTTCACTTAAACCTAGGGGACTGGATAACCAGGGAACAGAAAGTCACCTGCTGGAATGCATGTGGTGAACAAATGGAAAAAAGTCCGTCCTCCTCTCAACTCCGATGAAGAAGTCTTTGTGGCTTCTTGTATATATATATTTTTTTTAATTTTATTTTTAGGAAATGAGATTTTTGTCTGTTTTCACAGTGTGATTTTTCTTCTTTCCTAAGAGGGTTACAAATTTATAGGCTTTTTCTGTATGACAGCATTTCAGTTGAAAGCTGGCTAGGAGAGACTGCCAAACTCTGGTAGATTTCTTTTTTTTTTCATCCCATCCTATCTGGACACTGCTGAACAATTTCTGTTGTCGTAACTTTTTCTGGCTCAAAGATGCATTTGACACAATGCACTGTCATTACAAAAGCACTGAATTACATCAAATGACATATGACTGATCAAAACATTTCCTGAGAATGATATACCAGAGTTCTCCCCTACAGCCATCTGCAAATTGCTCAAATTTAACAATGCTGCATTGCTTATAAAAATATTAAGTAAGGCAAAAAGCAGCAGCATTTTCTTTGGTTGTTTCCAGGGTGCATGCTTTCAGTTGTCACTCTCCTTCTCAAAGCATTAAGCAACACTTTCCAGCTTCAAAACCAGGAACTTTAGTGCTGCAGCAGCTACTGTATTTAAAACATTTTATTAATTCAGAAGAAAATAAACATAATACCCTTATCTATATAGACAAGTAATATCACCTGCGTGCAAGCTAGCCTTCACATTTTAATCTGCAAATAGACAAATATTTTCCCTCTGTTATCATAATTATGAAAATTAAAGCAATTTTTTTTTCCTATTTGAGCAGAAGACATTACTTAGCAACAACAACTACCTGAGGAAAAAGGCTGCTGCTGATTTAGAAGTAAAGAACCACTCAAGTTCCCATCAATTCCTTCACTGCAAACAAGTGCCCTTCAGTCAGTAATGTTATTCATAACATGCTTCCTTTCTCTCTGTCCATTTTTCTCAATTCATTACATTCAGGAGTCCAAAATTGTCCTGGAACTTCAACATGCAACTTCCAGCTGAGACTCCTTCATGCATCGAAAGGCAGAGCTTTGGAAGATACTGTCTAACCCTCTGAACAACACAGCAATCAATACCAATCCTTCACAGCCAATTTAAAACACCTCTAACACACAAGCCTTTCCCACACAAATTACTCCTTTGTGAACATTACATATTAGCTTCCTTTCCCATATGAGATCAAGAATTTTCAGAGTTTTCCAGGTAATGTTGGACTGGGCATATTTGTCCCCAGGCACTTAAAAGAAAAAATTTTGGAATTAAAATCAACTACAGGACTAATAGGCTTCTGATGGTCTGACACATGGCAGCTTGGCAGTTTTTAAAGAACAAGTATGAATTTATTACAGTTAGTTTAAATTGCATTGTCCCTATTTTGAGAAAGGCAGGATAACATTATGCATCCTAAACCTAGATGAAAGCATGTCCACACCTGGGAACAGACACTGCCCATGTTCCAGCCCAGCCTGGCAGGACACGCGATGTAGGTACGTTAAGGACTCCCCACGGTTCTCCCACCATCATTTAGTTATGGGTGCCCTGGTCATTGTGCAGATCACAGCCTCTTGGGTTGTGGGGTTTCAGTTCTTTAAGCACCAAGGATCAGATTTGACACCTCATTGACCAGCGGGAACTGAAGTGATTTTAATCCTAGGGTCCTATGATTAAAACACAGCCTAAAGTGGGAAGCTCTTGACAGGACAAAAAGAAAAGGACACCAGCCGAGTAAGACACCTACAAATCTCTTGACTTAACACAGGTGAAGAAAACCAAAACACTAAAGCTGGAAGTCATGGCCATGCACAATACAAGTCCATACAGTGTGGTTCTGGACAGCCCCAGAAAAGAGGCTATTTCAAGAGACACGGTTCACAGGACAAGAGTGGCAGAACTCTGTCAGCCTCCCCATAACAGAGTATGCTGCAATGAGCCACTCCCAGAACACGGATGGCAGAGCAGACCTGGTTGGGGACAGCCCCAGACTCTCTAAATTGGTAAAGCCATTAAAGGAGAGTAAAGAGTTGAGTGAGATTGATAAGCTGGAGAAAAAATAAAAGATATACAGTATTTGGAGCCTTGAAAGTAAGGAGCTCAGCAGAGGGCAGTGAGTTAAAAAATACATAGAAGAAAAAAGATATTGTATGTGGTACTTACCCAATAGTAGGGCTAATATTGTGATCAAAGTGGTCCTGGACAAATCGACAAACGATGCTTGATTTCCCAACCCCAGTATCCTGAAAATAAAGGAAAGCACAACAGTGAGTTCAGGAGACCCTGGACAGCAATACTTGACCCAAAGAAACAGTCAAATATTAATCTGGGGAATGAAAGCCTCTCTAGGGGCAAATGGGTCAGGTTAAACATTTCAAAAGAAAAGCAAGCACACGGATGATCCTTTTCAAATGTCAGTATTGTGAATGGAGCTACCTTGTCCTCTTCCCAACACTCCCTTCTCTCCAAGCCTTGTATTTTTTGGGGTGGATTTTATATTCCTGTTGCAAGGACCACAGTACTTCAAGCACAGGCCTTTACTTGTACAAGAAAACCCCATGCTTTCAAACACACAGTGCACTATCCAGCAAAGCCAGAGAAGCAATTTCTTTCAGGCTGGTTGCAAAGGCAGCCCAATCATGCTTCCAAAACAGATTACTAACACCAATCTTTTAGCACACTAACAGCACTAACTTAGTGGAACTAACCTTTTCATGGCAAGACAAACAAGCCTGCTTGGTGGAAACTTTGCAGGGGCTTCGAGTGGTTCTGAAAAGGCAGGAATTCAAAGATTTGGATCCCCAGAGATGTTCAGTCATCCCTGTGCAGGTTGTGTTACTGGACTGCAGTGAAACAGCATTACTTTAAATGCAACACAACTTGCTCTCTACACTGCAATGTGGCAAACTGCTTCCATTTGCAGGAATAGTCTTTTTTTTTTTTTTTTTTACCCCCACAATAAAATAACAGCAGCACAGTACCAGAATAAAATTCAGAATAACCTGGGGGGAAGCGGGGGAAGCTTGACATTATGCAGAAATACTATTTTAGGAATTTAAGATATGAACAATTTCCCCCAAAAAGCTGCATTTTTTGGTTTGTCTCTTGTTATTCCACAGAGCCTTGGATAGTAGGCAGAAGAACCTAAAACTATACAGTGAGTTATCAAGGAAGAGGAATAGCAATATCACTATGGCTGCCACAGAATTGCAAAGAGCCTCCTTAGAGACAAAAAGCATGTCAGGAAATCGATCCTGACCTTTCCAAGACATTAACAATGACAGCCCAGGGTCCAATCTAACTCATTAAAAAGTCAATGGAAAGTTTTCTATTAATTTCATTGGAAGTGACTGCAGAACTACCAGACTGCACCTGCTAGTTCCATTTGTATCCACATTTTAAGACACTTGACTAATTTTCACAAATTTCTCGAAAAGTGCCAAGAGAATGCACTTTGTGGAGAGCACTACACACATAACTACATATTAAAAAAAAAAAAAGCAGGCTTTGCCCACACATAACTACATATAAAGAAAAAGGCTTTGCCTTTCCTGTAATCAATTTTGCAATACTTTATCTTCTTTTTGAATATGAAAGAAAAATAATGCCTGTATTTAGATTTCCTTTCACCATGCTTAAATGAAACTCTATTGCCACTGCAAGTGAAGTCTTTATAGACAGCACTTACTAGAAAACCATCATTCAAACTCTCATATTTAATTCAAAGCTGTCCTTAGTCAGCTTAAAAGCCATAATAAATGCTCATGCTACACAGACGGTTGTTTATCTACTGTTTTCAATCAATAGGAAAAAAAGCATAAAGAGAGAAGCAGTGTTTAAAACCAGCCCCATAGCCTTTGATCAATAGCAGCAACACATCCTGTTGCTATTCCCAAATTTTGTCTTCATTATCGATTGCAGCTGACATCTCTGTATAATTACTAGACCAGGATGGCAGAACACATTAAAAAAAAAAAAAAAAAGTCCTCTGCACTGAAACTGAAGATCTAATTATTATTACGGATTTTAAACATTGTGGAGAAACCAGAACTACCACCCACCAAGCATGAGGAATTACATTTCCCTCTTGCGGGGACAGTTTCTGCCACTGTGTTCAAAACCTGACATTGACTCCTGTGACACGATGATGCTTTAGTTTCGTGTACATCCTTCAGCTCCCTTGACAGGTCACTCAGAAGGGCAAATGCAATTACAACTCCTGAGCAAGAGAAGCCCGGTCTCTGGCAGGGACGTGACATCCCCAAGCGCAGATTAAAGCTTAGCTCATTTTCCTGGAAGCTCCTACCTTTTCATCTTGCAGTTCATGGATCTTACTAATGTTTCATGCTAACATTAAATGAACTTTAAAAGTTTCTATTGCCCTTGCATCTCTCGCAACACGCATGGCTGAACTTAAGCCCATGCCAGGCACAGTGATAGTCCTCAGAGAGCTTAAAAGCATTCTTACACTTTGCTCCTGGGGTTGCTCGGACTACTGAGAGGGCTAAATTTACCCCTGGTGTAACTCCAGTGAAACCAATGGACTTGTACCACAAATGAACCTGTCTTTAGGAGGACCACTGCTGCAGCCAGCAGCCAGTGCTTTCCAGGAGACAGGCAATTTATTGCACCAAGGGGCCCAAATTGAAACAAGCGCTCCTAGCTCCTGTGGCGTTGCCTGGAGGACACGAACGGCTGGCTACCGGAGTATAATTAGAGCACAGAGGGGAAGGAAGTAAAAAAAAGAAAAAGCTTCCTACTTAAGGCAGTGATTATCATTCCATCCCAGGATTTAAAACTACTTAGACAGTTCTCAGTCCACGTTACCATACTTATGCCCATCAAACCACAAGCTCACCTGCCTGAAACCAAAGCAAATGACAGTGTATGAACAATATACAAGTTGAAAACTCAGTAGAAATCCTTTACTGCTAATCGGACCTTATCTTTTACTGACAATAGGGAACTATCTTTCAGGTCCATCTTGCAGAAGCTAAGGAAAGCACAGTTGCTTCGAAGAATTAGAAAACTTTCACTTCTGAGCAACGCACTGAAACTAAACCTCTTTGCTAAGGCTGTACAAAGCTTTCCTGCTACCATCTGCTTTGTCCTTTGCTATACGGTCATCTTCTACATACATCCATTTTTCTAACATCTGATGGGGATGATCATCCTTGTTTTGTTCCTTTTTCTTTAAAGAATTCCTTGTCAAGCCACATGCCTGGGTTACATTCAGGCATGCAGACGACTTTTTTTTTCAGTTCTCAAAGTTCTGCTTTTTTGCCAGCTTTTTACACCCTCTAATCTGTTTTACTTTTTTATTTTACTCCAACTTGGTGTACATATAACATCAAACATACACCAAGGAATAACATTTTGGCTTATGTAAAAGGTCACAGCAGCACTGAGCTGAGTGGACTGGACAAGTTTCAGAAACTGAGAACATGTCCTCAGGAGTTATGTCACACTTTAAGGAACCGATCCTGCAATTCTACAGACAAACACTTATCCATGGGAAATCCAAGGGTTTCAGCACGACTAATTGACTCATCATGATCAAGAGTGTACCACTCCAGGAAAGGAGTGGCAAAAAAGGAATAAATATAAAATAATTATTCTGAATCAAGGTCTTCATGATGCATTTGATGAGTCACTCATGAGACCAACTGCATGTTTTGCTTTTCTCCTTTCTTCTCCATAAGCCTCATAGCACACTTATGAAATAATCAGTTATAAACTGCACTGTACCGAGATAAGCAAAACGGGTGGGGAGGAAGGAAATGAGTAGAAATGTAATCCACAGTAAGTGAACCACTATTAGTTCACCAGAAGAAGTAGTGACAACCTCAGAATCTTCCACTGGCCAGAAAATGGATATGGAAATCTGAAGCCATATCAGATGTTTCTGATACACAAGGAACCAGTGCAAGCATGACTAATTCCTGATTTTTACCCTTTAACCCTGAAAAGATGTTCTCTATTCTTCTAAAATCCCTTACCCATAGATTTAGGCATGAGAATTTTAAGAGCATCAGAATGGAGAGCAGCATGCCACAAAAAACAGTGCTTCCACCCACACTCCTGCTCATGGAGAACCACCCCTCTTGGCTCTTCTTGGCTCACATTACTGTAAAAGGAGATTAGACTGCATTTCAAGCCAGCAGAATTACAAGATACTGGCAACTCATTTGCAGGCAAACAACAACTGAGCTGCTGATTTCTTCTGGCAGATTTGCAGCAGCATAGAGGAAGATTAAAAAAAAAGTTCAATATGAGCAATATATTAAAAAATAAAACCATTTTCCCATTACAAATAGGCAGTTGGTATATTCCTCTGTCCATTGTTCCAGATGTGTTTGTCCTGGCAGAAAAAAAAAAAACCCTAATGCAGAAAAAAATCAGCTCTTTAATTTAAAACTGGAGGTCTCATTTACACCTTTGCACAACCATAGGGCCCAGTCCTCCAACCACTCTTCCAAACTGAAGGGAACTATACTACCTTGTAAACACATCCCTGATTAGCCTTGATATTATAATAGCTTTTAATAGATTTAGATGGGTCAAGCCCTATTGTGCTGAGCAAACTAAACTCTTCATGTGAATTCTTTTTACATTTGAAATGGAATAAATGTTGAATTCACAAAAAAATCCACACATATCGTGACTGATGACTAAACAGCAGCCCTATAATTATGCACACTGCTGGAACAGCTTTTTATTCTTGACTACTCAGAATCTTTCTGTGCTATGTTAACACACAGGGCTCTTAATATATGTAAAATTAGGTAAACCATGCAAAAATCCTTTTATGACTCTAGGATTAGGGAAACACAAATAAAACAGCACTTCACACAAGGAAATGGCACACAAGAATTAACATACTGAAGAAACTGCCTTCTGTCCTCCCACTTGCAAAGTAAGTAAAAAAAGAACATCTGGCTTGCAACCACCACAGATCTCATGACTAACTTCCCATTTCAGCTTTAAAAGAGGGTTGAGATACCCTGGAGATGGGCACCACAAAAATCTGCATTGAGAAGTAATGGAGAACTTGTCTCTATGAAAAAGGGATCCAAAGCACGGCTCCTTCAGAAGGATAGGAGTTTTCCCATCAGCTTAGACAAAGCCAGGATTCAATCCATGCTATTTCAATTTGTATAAGTTTTTACAAATTAAAAATGTCTGTTACTCCAAAGCATTTTTCATAATAACCAAGTTCACCAAGACTCGATCTACAGGCAGA